GTGATCTTTTGCATTGCTTTAAAAGTTGGGTTACAAAATTTATGAAATTTTATTTAAAAAAATAACATTAGGTGGCTTTTCTTCCTTGAAGAAACGCCACCTAATGTAAGTTTCTTTTTTAAAAAAAAACAAAAGAAACTAAAGAGGTGGCATTTCTTCACCTTTGTAGTTAAATAGGTGGCATTTCAAGTAGGTAAAAATGCCAACTATTTGAATTTAAGTTTTTTAATTATAACAATTTTTTAAATATCTAAAGTTGTTAGCCCTTAAAAAAATCCACCATTGTGTTATGAATTAAAAAATATATAGCAAATAGGTGGTGTTTTTAGATCTATAAAGGCCACCTATTTCATATTTTTATTTTAAAAGAAAGTAATAGAGGTTATCTTTGTTTAAAGAAGAAATGCCACCTCTATAAAGTTGAATTTGAGAGAGGTGGCATTTCTTCCTTTAACAAACACCACCTCTGTTAATCTAATTTATAAGAGAGGTGGCATTTGTTCAAGGAAGAAACACTACCTCTCTAATTTAAAAAAAAAAAAAAGATCTGATAGAGGTGGCATTTGGAAAATGAAATGCCCATGCTCTCACGTCAATCTCATGGCATTTCATTAATCAATAAAACATCACGAGATACCTATTATAGCTTTAAAATTTATAGCATTTATTAAATGCCACCAAATTAAAATTTCAAACGCCACCAAAGCTCATTTTTATAGTAGTGTATTAATTATTATTGCATTTGGATTTTTTTTTTGAAAAGACTAGATGTTGAAAGTTATTTTAATGAATTAATTATTATAAGCAACTGCAAAGTTATCCTATAAATTTCTCTCTTACACGTTTTATCAGCTACGATGCTATGTGAGGAAAAATAAAATGAGGTGGTGGCTCTGAAAATTTTGTGTGGCGTGAATGAATTTAATTTTTCTTTCTCTTTTTTTTAACTTTTTGGGGAAGGCTACCTAAAGCTAGAAAAGACTCATATGGTAAGAAATTAACAACCGTGAGACAAACCCTAGCTCTTATATATCAAAAGGAGAGGATTACATCATCTAGGTACTTTAGTGATATGCGTCCACTTGTCTGAGAAATCTTGGGCTAATTTAACCAAGTAACTTGTGCACTCATGGCCTTTCCAGAAAGTAGTTCAGAGTTAAATGCATTTGCATGCATGTATATGGAAGAATTAATTTGTTCAACACATTGGCAAATTAAGTTTGCAAGGCATATGTAAAATAATTTTATATTATATATGTAGTTTTGGGGATAAAACATAGTTCATAGTTGGACATGTTGGATTCTTATTTATAAGCCATAGTGTAGGCTATAGAAGAAAAAATAAATAGTAATCAAAGTGAAGAAGCATAAGATGTAATGTAATGTAGTTTTGAAGAAGGTACTGGAAAAAGAGAGGAGGAGAGGACAAAAGTAGGTGGTAATTGAGAAAAGGAGAATATTCTTCTTATGTGGGTTAATAAGAAGAATATTGGAATTAATTTCAGGAAAAAGGAGGTGGAAATTAGGAAGAAGAATATGGAATTAATTGGAATATAGAAAAGGAGAATATTCTTCTTATTTAAGTTAATAAGAAGAATATTAGAGTTAATTGAAATTAATTAGAGGACAAAAGGAGGTGGTAATTGGGAAGAAAATATGAAAATAATTAGAACATACAAAAGGAGAAAAGAAGAATATTCTTTTTATTTAGGTTAACAAGATGAATATTAAAATTAATTGAAATTAATTAGAGGACAAAAGGAGGAGAGGACAAAAGGGACTGAAGGAACAGAATTAACTGGGTAGGAAGGATCGAATTAATTGGCTTGCCACTGTTATATTAAAAAACAAAACAAAAGGAACAGAATTAATTGGGAAGGAGGGACCAAAGGAATGGGTAGTGAGAGGAAATATTTGAAAAAGGGTGCACACAATCAAGGGTGTCTGGTTGGGTTGTTTGTAGTTGTGCTCCCTCTTCTATTCATCCATCTTAATCTTAATTCTCCCTTCTTTCTTTGTTTCTTTCTTTTTTAGAAAAGATTCTTTTTGTTTAATAAAAAAAGAATATGTTGAGATAAGTTGTTTCTCATAAACTCACTAAAACTAAGGTATATTTTCAAGTTCAAATTACACTTTTAAAAATATTTACATATTATCTACCAACAATAGCCTTACATGGATAGTAAAATTTGAATCCATAACTTTATACATCATGAGCTAAATTTTATCAACTTGATCAAATTTTTTTTTTTTAAAACATTGTGTCCTGATGAGTTTCTTTTCAGGTCCATCTAGTACGTATAAAAATATGACAAAGTGGTAAATATTTTACAAGATGAAACCCTTAAAAAAGTTGGCATTTCAACCATTGCCCATTTTTTGGGCTAATTTTTCTTTCATTGTTATGATTTATTGTCATAGTACACATTTCTTAATTTCGAGGTCAATTTTTTTAAAAAAAGTTCATTTGATTATTATTTATTTTCAAGAAAAGTATATATATTTAGTTTTTTAAATTTTATATAAAATTTTAATTTGAAACTTTAAATATTTAAAGTATGATTTTAGTTATTTAATCCTAACATTGTTGGCATCAAATAATGATTTGTTTTGTTAATCACCCCAACATTTGTAAGGAAAGCAGTAAACGTGTGAGAGGGAGTGAGGGCTAAGCTAATTAACACTTTCCAAAAACTTCATGCCTATACATCAAAATATAATGGGAAATCATTTATTTATGTTCTTCTTCTTGTGCAGTCAGAATTTCCAATCAGTGTAAATAACTTAACAATAAGTGATTCTTCTTCTAATGCCAACCCCTCCCTATTTTTGGAAACATCATTTCAAATTAAAGGTCACTGCCGTTTGTCCTTTTAATATGTACAATGCTATTATAATTATAATAAATATAATTATTAATTAATTAACATAATAATTACTCCCTCTATTAAAAAATATGAGGCATTTTTTAAAGGATTGGATTTTTAAAAAATATAAGAAATTTTTAGCATTTTAAAATATAATTATTACTTTTTTAAGCACCCCTATTAAATAAATTAATTTATATTTATTTTAGAATGAAACACCTTATTAAACAGGGGTACAAATGAAAAGAAAGGGTTAGTTTAAAGATAAGTGATTACTTTATTTAGAGGTGAGATTCAATTAAAAATACCTTATATTTTTTATCAAAGAGAGTATATTAATAATAATAATTAATTATTATTATATCTGGAAAGTTTTTTTGGAAAATACTGAATGTTGAAAGTTATTTTAATGAATTAATTATTATAAGCAACTATAGAGTTATCCTATAAATTTCTCTCTTACATTTTTTCTGAGCTACGGTGCTATGTGAGGAAAAATAAAATGAGGTGGTGGCTCTAGAAATTTTTGTGTGGCATGAATGAATTTAATTTTTTTTCTCTGTTTTTTTTCCTTTTTGGGGAAGGCTACCTAAAGCTATAAATTAAAAGAATCGTATGGTAAAAAATTAAGAACTATGGGATAGAGCCCAGCTTTTATCTATCAAAAGGAGAGGACTACATCCTCTAGGTACTTCAGTGATATGCGTCCATTCATCTGAGAAATCTTAGGCTAATTTGGCCAGGTAACCCATGCACTCATGGCCTTTCTAGAAAGTAGTTCTGAGTTGAACAAGTTTGCATGCATGTATATGGCAAGAATTAATTTGTTCAACTCATTGGCAAATTAAGTTTGCAAGGCATATGTAAAAAAATTTTATAATATATATGTAGTTTTGGGAATAAAAGATAGTTCATAGTTGAACAGGTTGGATTCTTATTTATAAGGCATAGTTTAGGTTATAGAAGAAACAAGAAATAGTATTCAAAGTGAAAAAGCATAAGATAGAATGTAATGTCGTTTTGGAGAAGGCACTGGAAAGAGAGAGGAGGAGAGGACAAAAGTATGTGGTATTTGAGAAAAGAAGAATATTCTTCTTATTTGGGTTAACTAACACCAACTCCATTGTGCAATACACAAGAAGCATTCACTATGACAGTAATACTTCGAACAATATCTTCCATGCAATTAGATGATAAAAAGATCCAGTAGATCAACAATTGATTCTAAAATATATTAGGTTTCTCATTTACTAAGTGAAAATATCAAGGATAGAATGAAATTAAAGGAGAAAGGACATAGACCTAATAAATTTTTAGAGCTTACAACTAAATTCATAACAACAACTAATGCATGACAACATTACATGAGAATTTACCCTTTATGTGAAAGGGTACTTGGTATGTGTATATTTGAAGAGAATTAGTCCATCTATATAATCTGGTATTACTATATACTATATACCAGATAGTGGATGATGCATTTATGCAAAATTCTTGTATAAAAAGAAGTTGACAAACATGGAGTTAGGGAATTATTCTTTAGGTAATCATGACAAGAAAAAACTTAAATAAAAAATTTAATAATGGATTAAAGCTACTAATACAATGACATGATGCCGGTTATGCTAAAATGAGAACTAGAAAATCTTACACATATAGATCTTTACTTAGATATAATAACAACCTAGAAGCTATAACAAAGTTTTATTAATTATTAATTGAATTAAGGTTCAAATATAATTTCTATATATAAGAATTGGACATCATTAGAATGGTGATCTTCCAATAACTATACAAAGCAAAAGAAACTACTGATGACTAATGTAATGACCCGAAAAAATAATAATAATAAATACTAATAATAAAATAAAAATTAATTAATTAAATTATTAAAAGGTGTTTAAAGTTTATTTTTATTTTTATTACTTTTAGAGCAAATGCATCAAGGGAAAATTGAGGCTTAGTGGACTTTATGCAAATTACATTATTGATGGGTCTTAAATTTGAATTTTTATGGGACCAAGAGTGGGATTTTATCTTTTAGCTTTAACTTAAGAGAAATTACGAAAATGCCCTTCTGTTCAATTAAATAAATAAAGGGAGAAAGAAATGAGGAGCAAAGCACGTTTTTCCTCTCATTTGGGATCAGATTCAAGAACCATCGAGAGAGAGAGAGAGAGAGAGAGTCAGAGATCAGCTGAATTGAGGATCACTTCGTCGTCTCTGTCTTCTTCCTCTTCCTTCGTCGTCTTCAACGTCGCCGGTGGTGTGTGCGTTGCTGCCGTCCGCCCAGCCTGTGGTAGCTTCTTTCTCCTCTGTTTCTCGTCATCGAGCTCGCGTCCTTTCTTCTCCATTCTGTCCTATCGAAGGTGGTAAGCATGTTAAACGCTGGGCTGTTGTTGGAGATCCGACAAAGTTGCTGCTGTTCTGGAGATCGTGGAAGCTACCGATCTCTTCTCCTCCTCATTTACGTGCCATCGTTCGAGTTCTTTTTCTGTTCAGTACGCTAATTCTTCTTCCTTATTGCTCTGTTCATCCGTTTGAGACCTTGCTTCCTTGCTTTGTCACGTTGAGTGAGGTGAGATGCTTTAATCCTTCTTATGATTTTGCTGTGGCTGTGATATTCCTTGCCCTGTTTTGCGGTGAGAGTTGTGGAGGGGGGGAATTTATTTAATTTATTAATTTATTAAATAATTTATTTATTTTTCTTTCTTTTAGTTAAGATCGATTTGAGGGAATGGAATTTAGGAAGCTGATTATTTATATATTTATGTTAAAGAAGTTGTTGAGAAGATAAAATCAAAGAGGAAGAAGTTGGTTTGAGTTGAAGTATGAAGGCACAAAAGGTGCTTGACAAAACGTTTGTTAGGAGGAGTTTGCTTAATTTTATATTTTTCTAAAAGTTCATTAATCCTTGTGAAAAACATGTTTAGTTTAGGTGTTATTGATTCATGAATTTAACTTGTAGGTTGCAAATTAAAGGAATTTGATTATAAATTCATATGTAACTAGTTAAACTCCTGAGGATAGTATGGTTATGGATAAATTGTTGGATAAAGGCTGGAAGATTAGGAAAAATCTTAATTGCATGGTTGGAATAATGCACCTAAAGTGTTTGATGCAAAGATTTAGAGAAAATTTTATCTCACGTAAATAGGTTGGTATGGCTAAAGTATTATAGAGGAAAGTAATGACATGAATAATAATGCTTTGACATTGTTAATCGTAAATTTAATTGGGTTTTATCATAGGAGTTTATGTAGGAAGTTATTAATATCTTATCTGAACTTTAGATTATTGGGAGTAATAAAGTTAGAAATTTATAAAGTATATTATCGCTTTAAAAAGGCATACTTAGATGCTTGAAAAAAAAATGGTTGGGACAAGATAATTAAAAGTTACACGTTTTATCAAATGGGTTGGAATGCTGCACATTAGATGTTTAGTAAAAAGCCTAAGGAGAAACCTTTATGTATAATTTTGTTACTAAAACTTAAAGTTTTATTAATAATTCTGGTTGAGTAAATTCTCACAAAGAAAGACTTGTTGGGTCAAAAGTAAAGTGCATTAAGATCTTATTATTTATTATAGGGTGATTGTGAGACGGGTAGCTCGATTGGAGTTTTAAGAAGTGAGTTTTGAACTTTGAAAGCACTACAGGTAAGTGGATAGCGTCCCAACTGATATTTCATTAAAATCTCTTTTATTCAAATATTATATTTTTATGCAAATTCTTTTTACGACAACAATGTGATTATGAGATATTTTATTGACTAAATTATATTATTTCGAGAAATTATTTCATCAGAATTAATCATTTTAGTTAATCAGTAAATGCAAGTTTGAATTCTAAATGTGGGATTTCAATTTGAAAATTATTGAATTGTTACGGAAAAACGATTCATGCGAGTTCGACATTGAAAAGGAAAATTTGATGAAATGGTGATCAATTTCTCGCATGTTTGAAAATGGTTTTAAAAAAGGGGACTTTATATAGAATACTGATTGCTAACGGCAGTTCCGTTAGTCCTTGGCGCGCCATGGTACACCTAGCTAGCAGGGTGTTTATAGGAGGTGCTAGCCCCGTGCGATGGCCAACGCACGTGGAACGGAGGGATGGTTATTCGTGAGCATAGTACTCACGTTTGTTTCGTGGCTTCAAGCCGCGTTTGGTTAGAATACCCTCGTGGACTGTGTGTCCATGTCTGTTTCGTGGCTTCGGCTGCGTTTGGTTATTTACTCTCGTGGATTGTGTGTCCATGTTTATATTCGTGGCATAAGCCGCGTTCGGTTATTTATCTTCGTGGACTGTGTGTCCACGTTTGTTTACCGTTCTAATAAGTCCTTAAAAATTTGTGAATTTGACTATTTGGTGATTTTATATTTCACTGGTTTTTATCTAGTAAATTATTTATAGCCATTTATTTCATTTATATGCTTTCTGAAAATCAAGTGATAAAAACATTTGTTATGATATTTCGATGGTTTAAGATTTTATTTAAAAATTTTATAGTGTTATTTTATTTTGAAGTTTATTAAAATTTTTATGGAAATTGTTATCTATTTAACTTACATGATTATTTCAAACTTTTCTCTTTATTCATGTTAAATTATTTATTGTTGGGACGTTATTCACTGGAAAATTATTTTGGTCTCAGATAGCATAACTGACGCTGTACATCTTGCTTACTAATGATGGTTGTTTGCGGAACAGAATGGAGGTTGGTTCTATAAATATGTTTTATTGATGTAAACATGAAATTTATGTATTATGTCATGAAATATATGATTAGATGCTCCACATAACTTATAAATTAGAGTCCTTAGTTTATTATATATTTTTCTGCTGACTGGAAGGAGCTGAGCTCCTAATTGATGCAATGTTTAAGGAAATTTTTTTTTTGTGATACAGAATTTAGGAGATCTTATTCACAGAGGAGGTTCTGTCAAAATTTTTACAAAATGTTGAACTAATTATTATAATGATTATTATAAATAATATTAAAAAAATTAGTGTAAAGCTGAGTACATTTTAGTCAAATGAAATAAAACTTGAATTTGTGGCTTACAGGATGTGTGATGTTGTTCACATCCTGTGCCAGTCACACTCTATTTTTGGGGCGTGACAACTAACTACAATTTTTATAAGACAATTCAACCAAAAAATATTTATATAAGCCAACAGTAAAATAATTAATTGAAACAACAAAATCCTTAAAGATAAACATGGTTTAGAAGAAGTTAAGAATGGATCAACATTAGTGTAGAATGACAACGAAGAAATAGAATGAGGTCGAACATGATCAACATGGTTTAGAAGAAGTTAAGAATGGATCAACATTAGTGTAGAATGACAACGAAGAAATAGAATGAGGTCGAACATGATCAGTTGGTGATAATTTATCAAAAACTGGTAGGCTTACACTAGAATAATGACCAGAATTGCTTAACCTTGGAGATATGAGATTTTCTGCATCATCATTACTTGATCCCAAGACTTCTCGAGTGTAAAAAGTTAAAAACAACATTAACTGACCATAGACAACTTCAAAGCATGCATGAACTTAAACGTGATTGGAGTTGGTTTCAGGATGAATTCTGTATCTACTTGGATTAGTGGCACATTAAGATGTATCATTCAAACCAAATTTATCCTTCAATACTAATCCTCCAGCATCAGTTGGCAAATAGACAAGATTTGAACTTGTCCTGTTACTTCGATTCTTGAGTTCGTGACTCTTTCACTTATGTAGCGTTTGCTTTAATGGTGTAGATTGCTGATTGTAGTCCTCAAAGGAACAAAGTGAACTTCTAAGCTTGAAAGCACTTGTTTCCAAATTAACAGCTCCTATATAATACATGTAGGAAATAATTAATTATGAAACTAACTTGTTTTGGGCAAAAAAAAAAAAATACTAATGAGTAATGACTAACTACTATTTATATTTGAGAGCAATAGAATAATTTATTGACAAAGCAACTTACTTTTAAGACAAAATGGTTTTAGCAGTAGTTGGGAAAGGTTCAACATTAGTGTATAATGAGGGATAAGAATCAAAATGAGTTCAACATGTTCTGTAGGTGATGATTCATTGCTTACACCAGGAAAATGCCCAGAACTGGTTAACCTTGGAATTCTAATTTTTTTCTAATTCATCAATACGAGAGAACAAATTTGGTGGTTTAAGGACCACTCATTCTTTCGATCACTATATGATAAATGCCAGCTCAGAAAATCCCAAATCCAAAAATATGGAATAAAAATATATTTCATTTTTGCAATCATAAAAAAATAAAAAAAAAATGTAACCATATCATCTTCGGAAGCCCTGACATTTGAATTATCACATAAGCAAAGTTCATAAGAAATTTGAAATATTTCAATTATAGTCTACTGCATAAATCAAAATGTAAACTTCAAGGAGGGGATGTTGTAGGCTTCATAATGAAGGTTGATCCTTCGTGAACTAGGAAGATTGATCCTTTCATAGGTGCTTGATTCTTCCTCTTTCGTCACTATACCTTTTTCAAAGGATATATAAGCATAATTCTTGTAACGACCGTGAGGTGGCTTCCAGACAGTAAACCACAGACACATAATTCTTCCTCTTTGATTCTTCCACTAACTTTCAGATAATTCTTCCAAAATCTAAGCATATTGTAATGACCGTAAGGTGGCTCCCAAACAGCATAATGCTTCCTCTTTGATTCTTCCACTAACTTTCACATAATTCTTCAAATATCTAAGCATCTTGCAATGACCATGGGGTGGCTCCCAGACAGCAAAACCCATCATCAACAACATGTAATAGCATAGGTTAAAAAAAATGCAACAGTGAGTCAAAAAAAGAATTGATATAATTATTTATTGATAAAATTGGTATAAAGATGAAATTGAAGATGCTAGTGCATCCTCTTGACTTCTAGATTCAATAGCTTATATGTAGCCACTATAGACTGGGTCATCAGTAGCTTGGTAAGTCAGAACTTTACCCTCTCATATCAATAAAATTAAGGTAGTGCTTCACAACTCCTGAAATTAAGTTAAACAAAGTTATTCAAACAAGAGAGTGAGATGCACCGAATCTATATGCTACCAATGTGATAATCAAGAAAATGTTGTGGACAATAAAGAGAATCATATCATCCAAAAAAGATTCAAATCATGTCAATATTCACTCTAAGAATGACTCTCTTAGGTCTCTCCTAACTAAATCTATCCAAGAAATTACATTCTCCAACTTCCATTAAACTCTAGGAACTTTATTGCTAGACCACTTTATTTGAATGTCTAATATTTGCAATTCAACTACAACTAGACTAAGAACTGTATAAAAATGCAAATAATTTTTTCTAACAGTGTACAAGAGGGAAAATTTTTCCTACAACAAATTTATTGTCAAAGTTGCCATACCAAAACCTTTGATCGATTAACAATTGAGAATGCTACAAGAAACATTAGTTGATGGCATCATCTCTCATTTCAAATAAGCATTTAAACTTCTAAGTTCAGTTACTCAGTATATAACATTAGTTGATGACTTCAACTTCTACCCAAAAAATATGATAGCTAAACCAACATGGCTTGTTCTTCTATAGTAAGAATTCTTAAATTCAGCTCATATGCACAAAATTGACGTGGCAAAGGAATGATGATAAATCTCTCAAGAAGCACAATAAATCACACAAATGAGATAAAGAAATTACAGCTACACTACTTAGTATATTTCATGATAATATCTAAAAGTAAAATGACTGACCATCTCATTTGCATGGGAGCAAAATATAGTCACAATTTGGGGAGGAAAAAAATATTACTTAACGGGCAGCTGAACAACAGTCCCATGAATTTGGGAACACACCGTACATGTTAGACTCATCTACAATTGTTGCCGACCAAATACTGCATAAAATATAACGGACTGATAGCATAATCTATTCTTTCAAAATCAATGAGAAAATCCCAAATCTCTCAGATAGGCAAAATCTAGTGAGGATAAGTAAATCATGAGATAACAAATGAAAAGAACACAAAGAAAATCATAAACTATCCAACAAAGAAGAACAACACAGTAACATTTTTATAGTAGCAAGGATTGGACAGGGCTCATAAAGGATACTAAATCTCTCCAGAAGCACACAAAATCACACAACTTAGATGTCAAACTTAATACAAAATCATAACAACTACAACACCCAATACAACAACAACAACAACAACAACAAGCCTTTATCCCACTAGATGGGGTCGACTACATGGATTGCAAGACGCCATTGTGCTCTATCATTTATCAAGCTTTTAGAAATATTATTAATTAAGAGATCGCGTTCAACAACTTCTAAGAGTGTTCTCTTAGGCCTTCCTCTACCTCTCTTAATCGGACTCAAAGTTATATGTTCCACTCTTCTCACTGGTGCCTCCCTTGGTCTTCTTTGTACATGCCCAAACCATCTCAATTGATTTTTTACCATTTTTTCCTCAATAGGTGCCACCCTCATTTTTTCGCGTACGTGCTCATTTCGAATTTTATCTTTACGTGTATGTCCGCATATCCATCGTAACATTCTCATCTCTGCTACTCCAACTTTATGCTTTTGCTATGCCGTTAGAGCTCAGCATTCACTACTATATAACATTGCCGGTCTGATAGCAGTGCGATAAAACTTTCCTTTAAGTTTACTAGGCACCTTACGGTCACAAATAACTCCTTTAATTTTTCTCCAATTAAACCACCCAGCTTGAATTCTATGTGAAATATCTCCACTAATTTCGCCATCATTTTGAATAATGGCTCTTAAATATCTAAACTTTTCTACTTGAGGTATTATTTGATCTCTCAATTTCACTTCCAAATTATTGTCGAATAGTCCTTTACTAAATTTACAATATAAATATTTCGTCTTACTTCTACTCAGACGAAAACCTTTCGACTCCAATGTCCTCCTCCATAACTCAAGTTTGCAATTAACATCTTTTCTTGTCTCTACTATAAGAACTATATCATCCGTGAAGAGCATACATTTCGGGATTTCCTCTTGAATATGTTCCGTCAAAATATTTAAAATCAAGTTGAACAAATAAGGACTCAGAGATGATCCCTGATGTAGTCCAATCTTTATAGAAAAATCCTTTGTTTGACCACTAGGCATTCTTATACTAGTTTTAACCCCCTCATACATATCTTGTATGGCTTTAATATAAGCAATCCGTACTCCCTTTTTTTCCAACGCTTTTCAAAACACTTCTCTTGGTATACGGTCATAAGCTTTTTCCAAATCAATAAAAATCATGTATAGATCTTTATCTTTACAACGATACTTTTTCATTAATCCCCTTAGTAGATAAATCGCTTCTGTAGTTGATCTACCTGGCATAAAACCAAATTGATTCTTAGAAATACTTGTCTCCAATCTCAACCTGTACTCAATTACTTTCTCCCACAATTTCATTGTGTGGCTCATGAGTTTAACCCCTCTATAGTTAGTACAATTCTGAATATCTCCTTTATTTTATAAATAGGAATTAATGTACTTCTCCTCCACTCATCAGGCATTTTCTTGGACCGTAAAATCACATTAAATAACTTAGTTAACTATCTCACCCCTTCTTCACCTAAACATTTCCACGCTTCGATAGATATACAATCAGGTCCATTGGCTTTACCATTTGTCATTTTCTTAAGAGCTTCCTTTACCTCCTTATCACGTATTATTCGATAGAATGACAAATTTTGCTCTCCTTCACCAGTTACTAAATCCTCCAAGTTACTAGATGAATCCTCTCCATTATTGAAAAGTTTAGAAAAGTAGGTCTCCCATCTATTTTTAATTTCATCATCTGTAACTAAAATTCTTTTCTCTTCATCCTTAATACACCTTACCTGTTCTAGATCTCT